TCCATACCGAGTCGAATCTTTTTCAAACCTCTTGACTTCAATACCTAACTCAGCAATCTAATCATAAATTTCTTCCAAGGGACTAATTCCCACATCATTTCTGATCACGGAATATCGGCTAATAAGTTTCCTACCTGTTTCGCACAGTCTCGATTTTCGGCATACTTGAAGAACTTGTATAAATGCGAACTGTACACAACATGGGTGGTTTCTTCGCCCATTTGTGGCGGGTACTCGTCATCCCAATCGACCACATCTTCATCGAGTAATACAACTATGTGACATTCTCGTTCACCATGCTGAAAAGGCGTCATTAACACGTAGTAGGACTGTGTGACGTTGCCATGGACTCACTTCAGTACTCGCAACTAATTGAGGAAGTATAATCTCCTCCAGGAAATTCGAGAACTGTTCTCTGGCTCCTTCGTTCGATAACTCATGCAGAAGTGCATGCAAGTTCTGGCACCTGCAATAAAAAACACATGAAATTGAACCAACTAGACATTTTTTCAGCCAACAAATGACCAACACATTAGTACAAAGAATCCAAGTGAATGTTGCATTTGCATTTAATTTTGCGCTTAAACTTATGGCTAAAGAAGAGAAGGAAAGAAAGATCGAAATTTTCTAAAATCACGAAAAGACATTCTCAAAAGGACAGAATCGTATAGAAAGCTCAAAATCGTATAGAGAGCTTGAATTGCTTTTTTTTGTAAGGTTTCTTCAGTGCTTTGTGGAGGAGAAAAAAGGGGTCTATTTCAGTTAGGGGGGCATCATGATGCAGTTTTTCCAAAAGCTAGGGTAACTCCGAGCCAGGGGAGTGTAGCCAGTCTAGGGGGTGGGGGTGAGGGCAGTCACTTGACATGCGTGAAAAGCTGGAATGTTCGAGTTCACACTAGTTCGCCGAGAAACTGCATCATGATGCCCCCCATAACCAAAGTAGGCTCAAAAAAGAGTTCGATTCGAGCAGCTACCATCATGTATCGAACGAGAAGGAATAAAGTTGAAAAGTAGAAAGAAAGAAAATCGTTCAAAGTGCTTACTTCACAGTGTTCGCATTGAACGGTATGAGGAGGTAGTCGCATGCGTCGCGCAGTTCTGCCACTGAGATGTTCGGTGGGCAGCGCATCTGACCATGGGTATAGTACTCCAAAGCGACTCGGAAACATGCTGCAGTTGTGCCGTCAGCGACCTGGAATGGAAATGAGGCTGAACACAAAACCAAAAAATGATTTGACCAGAGAACGTTCCTCGGAATTGAGACTAGATCATCCGAGATATTGACGATTTCCTCCTTCTTTCAAACTATTTTACGGAAATTATATTAAATATGAATTATATGGATTCAAAGTCGAAGAACTCATGCTAGAAAGCAGCCTAGGTGTAAACAACATGTGTTCAAAGGTGCGCAAAAAACAAGGAGAACGAAAAGAAAAGACGAAAATTTTGAGAATCATTGAAATTGATGCATTCTGAAAACCTTTCCACGGTCGGAATTCAGGCAAATGTGGCCCTACATTGGAATGAATCCTATACCCGATAGTTACAAGTACGTTACAACAAAGTAAGAGAATTAAAGACCTCAAGAAAGAAAGAAAGAAGGAAGCACCCACAACAAATTCGTCCCTTTCGTTGGGAGTGACCAATTCGGCCCCAGCGCCTCTGGCATCACGCATTGCAAACATTCGACCAAGCATCGTGTCCGGATGAGACGTCAGAAGTTTTTGATCGATCAGGAAACGCATATCGTCACAGACCAGGCAAACTTTGTTCTCTAAATGAATAGAACACATAGAAATATCATATGCTCTTTTGGAAATTGAGATTAACACGTTGACGACATCGCGCGTTTTGGCATTTTTGGCCGCGTGGGACCAGAGCGATTCTGCGAGCGCCGCCGCCTCACAACAAATCCGTGGATTTTGAGCTTTAAATACGCAATACTTCGATGCGACAAAATGTTTTCACTGATATTCGGTGTGTCAAACTTATTGGAAGGTACACATGTGAAAGTGCGGTCGAATGATGTGTTACAGCATTGAAAAGGCAAGTTTCACTTACTTTTGCTTTAGTGATTTCAAAATTATTTTGGACGTGGTTGTTTCGGTAAAAACACATATCTTGCCACACGAGTAGCTTTGTACTCACTTCTAATATTCTTTTTTATCTACATGTTCGAAGAGAAAATGAGGAATGAACTGAACGGATATTTTCGTCCGGTCTGAAAAACGGTGAAACTCCAGTTCGGGGGGGCCACTCCATTTTTTCTCCAATACTCAAGATAAGGATTAGAGGGCTCACGACACGTAATCGACTCATTTAAAGTAGACTTCTGATAAATATTGGTGTAATGGGTGAGAAACCCTGAAACGTTTTCACATTTCCGCCTGCCATGACCCAAGGGAACGGTCCTGGACCAGGAGAAAGGACACCTCCGCAAAGGGCTAAGGGTGCAGGAGCTCCAGGGTGGATCACCTGTGCAGAAAAGTGGATGGGATGTGGGCAGGTAGTGTGGAATGTAGGACATCCACCGGTCCTTATCAAAAGTACGCTCGAAATGAGTCGTCACTTATTATCTTATCCGTAGTGTTCGATAGCCCAAAGAACTGCTCTCTAGTACTACGGATAAGATAGCAATGGAGTGGCCCCCCCGAACTGGAGTTTCACCTCGTTTTT